ACGTTGTCGCCTCTCTCGAGGGCTGCCGGTGGGTCCAGCGGAGTGCGGCACCGCGCAGACCTGAGCGGGGCCTCGCCGTCCCTGGGGGGGCTGCGATCGGCGACGTTGTCGCCTCTATCGAGGGCTGCCGGTGGGTCCAGCGGAGTGCGGCACCGCGCAGACCTGAGCGGGGCCTCGCCGTCCCTGGGGGGGCTGCGATCGGCGACGTTGTCGCCTCTTTCGAGGGCTGCCGGTGGGTCCAGCGGAGTGCGGCACCGCGCAGACCTGAGCGGGGCCTCGCCGTCCCTGGGGGGGCTGCGATCGGCGACGTTGTCGCCTCTCTCGAGGGCTGCCGGTGGGTCCAGCGGAGTGCGGCACCGCGCAGACCTGAGCGGGGCCTCGCCGTCCCTGGGGGGGCTGCGATCGGCGACGTTGTCGCCTCTTTCGAGGGCTGCCGGTGGGTCCAGCGGAGTGCGGCACCGCGCAGACCTGAGCGGGGCCTCGCCGCCCCTGGGGGGGCTGACCGCCGACGTTTCAAGCCCGTTGCCCGTTGCCCTAGTGACTCAGGGGTTCACTTAGTTACTCATCTCTACCGCGCTTTTTTCCTTAATCGGGGACCTGCGAACCTCCCGAATGCCGCTCGCAGAAGTATATGCGTCCATGTCACGTCGTCGCCCTCTCATCAAATCTTCCTTCCTACTCCTGCCCTGCACTGCGCAGGGGTTGGGTAGGTCGCCAGGGTAATTCGATTCTTGGTTAAGACGTCACTCCGCTGGACCCCCCAGCAGCCCTCGAACGTGGCGACAGTTTCGCAGACTGCAGCCCCCCGGGAATGGCGAGGTTTAATTTGAATTTGGGTACGTCGTCACTCCGCTGGACCCCCCAGTAGCCCTCGACAGTGGCGGCTGGTTCGCAGATCGCAGCCCCGAGGGATAGCGAGGTCTACTTTGAATCTGGGTACGACGCCAGCTGGACCAGCAGCCCTCGAAAGTGGCGGCACTTTCTCAGATCGCAGCCCCCGTGGATGGCGAGGTTTTCTTTGATTCTGGGTTAAGACGTAGCTCTTCTGGACCCCCCAGCAGCCCACGAAAGAGGCGACTGGTTCGCGGGTCGCAGCCCCTCCAGGACGGCGAGGTCCCGCTCAGACTTGCGCGGTGCCTCGCCCAAGGTGGTTTCGGCACCGACACGATGGCACTCAGGAGCGGCTCCCGCAAGAAGGCTCCAAGAGGCCAGACACTTTGGTTTCCCTTGTATCTTTCCAGGTGTTCCGCCTCTTCGCCTATTCGATGCTTCCATGTGTCAAGACGACCCACGAGATCCCCAAGATGGGCCCAAGGCGGCCACACACGGCTCCAAATGGGCTCCCAGAGGGGCCAAGAGGGTTCCAAGATGGGTCCGGGCCGAGGGCGCCCAAAAGGGCCCCAAGAGGGCTCCAGAAGGCTCCGTAGTCATTCTGGCTCGAGCCATTTGATCGACACCCATCTGCTTCACGCCAGATCATTTGTGCAATTCCCAGTGGGCGTCTCACATTCAGACGCGCAATTTATAGGCCTGCGAAGCGACGATGGTGTTTCTGGACGCAGAGCATCTCGTTGCCCCTTCTGCGGAGGAGGAAGCAAGTCCTTGCAATGCAGAAGCCAGTTGCAGTAAACAAGGTCTTTCGAAACGCTCGAAATATGGTGCTCTCACAGTGGTGGCGCTGCTGCTGCTTGTCGGCCTAGTCCTCACAGCAACTGTCGTTCAACAGAAAGCGCCGCTCCAATCATCCACAGACTTCATCGAAGAGGACATGGACCAAGACATGCTTGATGCCGTCAACCAGGAGAGGACACAGCGAGGCCTGAGCGCTCTTTGCTACAATTCGAAGCTCATCAACGCGGCATCGGCGCACACTGAAGACATGGCGTACTATGACCGAATGAGTCACACGGGGAGCGATGGGTCGGACCCTGGTCAGCGGATTACTCGGGCGGGGTATGGGTACAGCGCATATTGTGAAAATGTTGCCTATGGACAGCGTTCCGTCAGTTCCGTAATGAATAGTTGGATGAACAGCGAGGGTCACAGGGCAAACATTCTCAACTCCGGGATTACCCACTTTGGCTACGCGAAGAACGACAAGTATTGGACGCAGGTGTTTGCTTCCGGTAGTAGCGAGTCTTGCAGCCAGGGCTTTGGCGGGGGAGACACGTGTGCCTTTCCCACCACCTATGGTGGCAAGACGATGCCAGGGTGCACCACTGAAGGCCATGATGATAAGGCATGGTGCTACACCACAGCGGGACCAGGCAAGTGGAGAGAGTGCACTGCAGCTGATAATGCTTGTTCTTTCCCGTTCACGTACGAGGGTACAGAGTATTGGCATGGGTGTACTAAAGACGGCCATCATGCGGCATGGTGCTACACCGCGAAAGGTTCGGGCGATTACAAAGTGTGCAGTGCGGCTGACGATGCTTGTGAGTTTCCTTTCACGTACAAGGATAAGGAGTACCGGCAATGCACAAACGTAGATTACACCAAGGATTGGTGTTACAAGGTTGGAGGTGGTTGGATGGACTGCTTCTGAGATGGAGACATCATGAGCCGTACGAAGCCTGCGCGTACGCACCCGACATGCACATGCGGCACACGTGTCTCCACTCTTTGGTGTTGCCCTTCGTGCCGCACAAACAGCCGGCCGGGCCGCAATTTCCTCGGGCTGCGTCTGGCCTATTTTGCCCTTCGTGCTGGCATGCCAAGCGGGCCGCCGCAAGCTCCTCGGGCTGCGTCCGGCCTGGCCTGCCCAGCTGCAGCCGGTGGTAGTCCTGGGTTTTTCAGGTCTCGCGCGGGCTCCTTTGCGGGTGGGTGGCTTGGTTGATCAGGATACACCTGACACCAATAGTCTTCAGAAGCGCCGAATAGACGTCCAAGACGGCCCGAGAGGGCCCCAACTGGGGCCCAGGATCGGGAACATGAACCGAGAACCCGAGATCTTCGCCCAGGAGGCCCCCAGGAGGCTTCAAGAGGTCCCCTCCCGCCAGTGCGGCGTACGTTGGCCATCTTGTCTGCGGCACTCGGCGCCCGCGTGGCAGTCTTCTCTGCCGCGGGGCTAGCCTAATACAAACTGCTTCAGGTCCCAGAGAAGTCTGGTCCTGGTGCGCGGCGCTTCGAAGTTGATGGAGTCATTTGGGCGCTGCGTCTCCTGCTTTCCCGCATTGTCTCCTGCTCTCCAAGAGGCTTCCACGAGGCGTCCCGAGCGGCCCGAAGTGACCCCAAGATGCCACAAGAGGTTCCCATGACGCCCGAAGGGACACCATCGAGACCCCAAAGACGCTCGGAGCAGGCCCCAACGAGCTCCCAGGAGCCGCCCCGGAGGCACCCTGTGCAAAAGAAGTCCCCGAGAGGCCCTCAAGAGCTCACAAAACGCCCCCAGGAGAGCTCCAAGATGCCCCCAAGAGGCGTTCTGAGCGGCTCATCGGGGCATGCGTAAGCCTCGGAAGCGCATTGGAGGCGGAAACGTGATCACACAGAATTATACAGTTCAGCCCGTCGTTGCAATGATTTTGGCGTCTCGACGGCTTCCCTGCAGCTCTTACCAGGGTTTCTTGGAGGTTTCTTAGGGCGATCATGGGTGCTCCTGGGGGCCTCCAGAGCAAACTTGAAACATTGAATTGTATCAAATCTATGTTTCAATGTCGAACCCCTCGCGTTTCCCAGAGTGCGTGTCGTTTCCCCCGTCCCTCGCTGTCCGTTACCCCTGCTCTCTCGCCCCTGCTATTGGTTCTCCTCCGTCTCTCTTCCACATCCTTATCTTTCCTCTCCCCATCCCAAGACTTGGCATCGCTCGGACGTGTGCATTTTTCCTTCGGCGAGGACCATCGAGGAGTATCCTTGATCAGTTGTGAAAGGAAAAAAAAAAAAAAGACGTCCGAGCGATGGCCAGAAGAGGCCCCCCAAGGAGGCCCCAGGAAGCGAAAGCCGCCCCCACTCCCCCAGGAAAACGTACATGTTTAGCAGATTCACTTTTTGGGTTTTCACAGCGTCCCAGACGGCCCAAGAGGCTCCCTTGACGGCCCAGGAGGCCCCAAAGAGAGAGAGCCAGGACGGCCCAAGAAGGGCCCAAGACGGCCCAGGAGGCCCCCAAGGCAGCCCCAGGACAGGCCCAAAAGAGGTCCCAGAGGATGAAAACCAAGTTCAGATTTCGAGTTTTGACTTCAAGAGGCCCGAAGAGGCCCCCAAGAGGCCCCAAGGGGCTCCAAGAGGCCCCCAAGCCACCCAACAGGCCCCTTGGAAGCCCCCAAGAGGCCCGAACATAGTTTTCAATATGACCCCGAGAAGCCTCCACGGTGCTTCCAAGACGCCCCCCCATGAGGCCCCCAAAATTGTTTCCAATATATTTTCAAAACGCCTGCGTTTAAACAAAGTGTTGCAACACATGTTGTTTTCCAATGATTGCACGGTCCTGGGGACGATCTCCGGATTTTCCCAGGCCCAGATTGGGGTTTCCGTCTGTTCCGAAAGGGGAGGTGGAACGCCAAGCGAAGTTGCCCATTGGTGTTGTAGGTGGAGCTTCTTTGGGGCATGATGCGCGTGACGGGTGTGCGGACATGGGCGGGGGAGCGTTGTGCGAGACATTTCTCTGGGCCTTTAGGTGCTGTTTCTTGTGGGCACGATCCGCGTGATGGGATGTGTGTCGCAATGGCCAGATGTGGGGGCGCAGTGCAAACCTCGTCTCTGGGGTCGATGGTGGAGACCCCTGTGGGCCACGATCCGTGCGAGAGGTGTGCCGAAGTAGGCGGGGGGGGGTCGGGATGCGAACCTTGCCTCTGGGGCCCCCCGTGGAACGTTCTGCACCCTCCTCCTCCTCCTCCGTAGCCATTGTGGCTCAAGATGACGACCTGGGGGGCTGTCCAGTCTCCAGGCCGAAAGGAGACCTCTGGACCGAGGACAGTTCCCAGACGGGCGTCGGGCGCGCGCGCGGCACCGCTGCAGCCATGGGGAGTGGCGGCGGCGGACGCGGGGCGGGCAGCGCCTGGTCGGGGACCCCGAATCGCCAGAGGGTTCCCCCGTGGAAGAGGAGCAGCAGTGGCAGTCGCCCTCCTCGCAGCAGCTACGTGGTGTGTGACGGGTGCAGCAGATGGCGCTACTGCAAGAATATCACCAGCAGGGGCGACCTCTGCATCTGCGGCAAGAACCTCGCCTGCCTCGTCCCCGACGGTCATGTCTTCCGTGACGACGATGGTGGGTGGCTGGCAGCACAGCCCCAAGGAGGGACCTCGCCCAGGATCAGCTGGGCAGATGGTTGGCAGCCAGGTGGTGGTGCAGGCGGGAAAGGACAAGGAGGCCAACGCCAGCCACGACCTCACGACAAGACTGTCGACCTCAAGGCTGCCGCCGCAGCAGCTTACAGCAAGCTCACCAAGGACGACCCGCTCAGGCAGCACTACGAGGCCCTCTGGCCTGAGCTCGCCGCAGCCAAGCCACCAGCAGACCAACCAGTCGTTGGATTCAAGGCAGTGGAGGCAGCTGCTCGACGCTTGGACAAACTCCAGAAGAAAGTACGATCGGCAGGGGAGTAAGTTGAGAGCGTTTAGCAGTACTTGGCTGAGAGTGAACGCAAGCTTCGTGAAGCCATGGAAGCCTCCATTGCAGCCGAAGATGAGTTCGACAAGCTCAAGGCCACAGCCGGCAAGCAAGAGGCCCCAGCTGAACCTGCAGCCGATCTGCGAAGAAGTCTGGCGCAACACGCACCGCACGCGACGGAGGCTCATGACCAGCATGCTTACCCTCCCGCACGGTACAAGGCAGCAGGCAGCAAGAGTGCACATGGACGCCTTCCAGAACAGAAGAAACAACATCCTAGCGCACAGCATTCCCAGCAGCGAGCGCAGGCCGCTGCCGAGAACAGCGGAGGCCAGCTGAGAGTGGTCACCAGAGAACCTGGACGATGAGGACTCGACCCCAGACAGTGAAGCCCCAGAGCTGGAGGGCGAGCCGAGCAACCAGGAGATGGAGACCATTGCAGGACCTGATCAGAGGCACGACGCCAACGGCCTGATGCAGATGGCCGTGCAGGTGGCAGTAACGCTGACCAAGCCAGTGGGGCCCGACCTGATGAAGTTCGTGAGCGAAGCCGATGAGGCCGGCCTGCTCCACCCAAGGCTTCGACACAACAAAGGAGAAGCTGACCAGGACCCCGAGCAGGAGGTGGCGTGGCTCGAGAGGAACAGGCTTGAGCAGCTCAAGCAGTCGCTGGCAGGCTGCTGGATCCAGAAAGAGGGCGAGCAGGGCTGGCCATCGTGGCAGGCCGCGCGCGTGCCCCACGTGCTGAGGGCGCTGCAGACTGGCGTCTACCAGAGGCTGTTCAGCAACGTGTCAGGGCCGAGCCGCCAGCGCAGCCAGCGCCGAGCGGCGGAGGAGATCTGCCGCCTGGCATGGCTCAACAGCGGAGAGGCGCGCAGGCAGATCCAGCAGCAGGACCCGAAGGAGGCAGAGCGGCGCAGAGCAATGGCTGAGCAGTTCCCGGGCGTGACTGAGCCAGCTGTGAGGAGCCGCAGCCCGCGACCGCAAGCAGCAGTGCGAGTGCCAAGCAGGGCTCCAGCCAGACAGCTGAGGAGGAACCCAGAGGCCAGGGCCACCAGCAGCCCCGCCGAGCTGCGCACGGCAACGCCAGCGCCCGAGCTCGAGAGGCCCAAGGGACCCAGGGTACCGCAGCCAGAGCGGCCCCTGGAGGCGGGGAGGGCGGAGGAGCGGCAGAAACCTTCCAGCAGGCCCCTGTGCGGAGAGGGGGCAGGCCACCGTGGGCCCCTGCGCGGCGAGGGGGTAGGCCGCAGAGGACCCCAGCGCGGCGAGGGGTTAGGCCACAGCCCTGCGCCAGACGGGATGCAGTGGGGTGCCCGTCCCCCACCGGCAGGACGGAGCACCATGGACAAGGCATACCTCGACCACTTCCTTGAAGAGGAGAACAGCGAGGGTTGCTTCCAGCAGCCCGTAGACAAGCAGGACAGCGATGACAACCACCAGCAGATCCCAGAAGTACAGCACAGCATAGGGTGCCACCTGGCAGACCGCGGAGGACCCCAGCGTGGCGAGGGGTTAGGCCACGGAGGACCCCAGCGCGGTGAGGGGCTAGACCGCAGCAGACCCCAGCATGGTGAGGGCTTCGGCCAGGAAGGACCCCAGCATGGCGAAGAGGCAGACCGCAGAGGACCCCCGCGTGGCGAGGGGTTAGGCCACAGAACTGCGCAGCCCGAGACGACGGCAGACAACGACGACGCAGACCTGCAGCGGGACCTGGAGAAGGTTTTCTGCGACTTTCCCCGGCGCGGTGAGGGGTTAGACCGCATGGAACCCCTGCGCGGCGAGGGGCTAGGCCACGGCAATCCCCTGCGCGGTGAGGGGGTGGACCGCAGTGCCAAAGGCGAGCAGAGGCTCGAGGCGGAGGTCCCTGACGAGCCCAGTGAGCACGACGCGGACTTTTTGACCAACGGCGTGGTAGACAGGACCTCGCAACTAACAGAGCGGACCCATACCTTGGGAACCGACAGGCTGAACGCGAGGGGGAGGGCTTGGCCCGCGGATACCACGTGAACCGCGAACACAGCGAGCGGCATAGTCGGGGGACCTCGCCCGAGCCAGAGGGCAGTAGCTTCGAGGATGGGGACAGTGCGAGACTCGGCGTTCCCCCGCGCGGCGAGGGGGTAGACCGCAGCACGCCCCAGCGTGGCGAGGGGTTAGGCCACGGAGTACCCCAGCGCGGTGAGGGGTTAGACCGCAACCACCCCCAGCGTGGCGAGGGGTCAGGCCACGGCGGACCCCATAGTGGTGAGGGGTCAGACCGCAGCAGGCCCCTGCGTGGCGAGGGGTTAGGCCACATGGGGCCCCAGCGCGGTGAGGGGCTAGACCGCAACAGGCCCCTGCGTGGCGAGGGGTTAGGCCACGGAGCACCCCAGCGCGGTGAGGGGTTAGACCGCAGCAGCCCCCAGCGTGGCGAGGGGTTAGGCCACGATTTTCCCCGGCGCGGTGAGGGGTTAGACCGCACCGACACCCAGTGTGGCGAGGGGTCAGGCCACGCCAGACCCCAGCGCGGTGGGGGGTTAGACCGCAGCAGACCCCTGCGCGGCGAGGGATTAGGCCACCATGGAGCACCCCAGCGCGGTGAGGGGCCAGACCGCAGCAGGCCCCAGCGCGGCGAGGGGTTAGGCCACGGAGGACCCCTGCGCGGCGAGGGGCTAGGCCGCAATGCACCCCAGCGTGGCGAGGGGTTAGGCCACAGCCCTGCGCCAGGCAAGGCGGCCGTGAAGGCCCACGAGTCCAGGGACCAGCGGCCAGGGCGGTCCCTGGAAGAGCGCAGAGCGGAGGAGCGGCTGCGGCCGTCCATCAGGCTGCCCCTCAAGCTCTGAGAGGGCGGCGGCAGCATTTCTTCAGACTGCCGCCGCTCACGGGGCGACTCCATGAGTCATCGAGTGGCGGCAGTACGACGCCGTGAGATGAGGCCGCTGGCCCACCCCGCCTCGGGCCGTTCTGCCTGCGCGGGGTGCCGAGACCAGGGGCACCCACTCACGGGCGGGAGCACGCGGGTTTAAAACTCCTCCTCCTCCTCCTCCTCCTCCTCCTCCTCCTCCTCCTCCTCCTCCTCCTCCTCTTCCTCCTCCTCCTCCTCCTCCTCCTCCTCCTCCTCCTCCTCCTCCTCCTCCTCACCACCACCACGACACCGCGCGAGAGGTGTGCCGCAGCGAGCCGGACGCCGCTGCGAGGCTTCCCGCTGGCGCCACGACGCGCAGCCGTCGTGCGGGGCAGCGCCCCCGCCCGCGGGGCGCGCCGCCGTGCGAGCCTCGTCTCCCTCGGGACGCACGGTGGAGCTCCGCGCGGGGCGCGATCCCCGCGGGGGGTGGCGCCGGCAGGGGCGGGGGGGGGGCGCTGGGCCGAGCCTGCTGCGGGGGCCGCAGGCGGGCCCCCCCCGAGGGGGCACGGCCCGCGTGGCGATGGATGCCCCCCGGCACCGGACGCGGTCACACAATGCAGCCAGAGCGCGCTAGAGCCGAAGCGCGCGCGAAGCGTGCTCGTGGTTCTAGTGTGTAGATACATATATATAGATATATAAACATACATACATGCATGCATGCATGCATGCATGCATGCATACATACATACATATATGCATACATACATACATACATACATACGTACACACACATACACACATACATACATACATACATACATACATACATGCATACACGTATGTACATATGTTTGTAGACCTAACCATACATGGACATGTGCATGTGTACACATATGTATATATGGTTGTGCATAGACATACTTGTATAATATGTGTATGGACACACTCATATATAATATGAATAGATACCGCCCCCGCCGGCCCCAGGTCCCACACCTCCCCGCCACATCTCGGGAACGCTGCCGGTACCGCTCCCCTGGCCTTTCCGGGGAGCCTCCACAGCGCTCCAGGAGGGCCCAAGACGTCTCCCAGGAACCCCCAGAATACGAAAGGATGGCCCAAGACGCTCCCAAGCAGCCCAAGTCAGCCTTCCGACGGCCCTCGAGGCTCCCAGGTGGCCTCCAAGAGACCCCAATCGAGGTCTGAGAGGCGTCCCGGGACGGCCGAAGAGGCCAAAATCGTCGACTGTCATGTTTTTTCCAAATGTGTTTGGCTTCTCGCGTTTTCGAGCTTCCAACGGTCCATGAGCTCCGAAGAGGCTCCCAAGACCGCCCCAAGACCACCCAAGAGGCCCTCAGGACGGCCCAGGATAGCCCCAGACCACCCCAGAACAGGCCCAAGATGGGCCCAAGAGCGGGAGCAGGAGGCTTCTAGAGACCTCCGAGAGGCCTCCAGGACCACCCGGAGGCCCCCAACACCCCCGATCCCTGAGAGGCCCCAAAAAGACCCCGACGAGGCTCCAAGAACAGCCCAAGAGGGCTGCGAGAGCCGTCCCGAGAGAGCCCAAAGAGGGTAAAATCGTTGATTTACAATGGTTTTTCTAATGTTCTTCGCCTTCTCACGTTTTCACGCTTCCATCACTCGAAGATCGAGGATTTTGAACAAAAAGACGGAATTCCGAGAATTCCTTTTTCTTCCAAAGTGGAACTCCTACTCGGGGGTCCTACACATCCCCTGACATCTGGCCAGTACCGCGCCTCCCGGCTTCCCGGGGGGCCCCCAAAACGCCCAAGGACAGCCCAAGGACAGCCCAAGTCAAGCCCAAGGAGACCCCAGAACGTAAAGAACGGCCCAACACGCTCCCGCGCAGCCCGAGACACCCTTCCGACGGCTCTCCAGGCTTCCAGGAGGCATCCAGAACCCCCAGGGGGTCCGGAAGATCCCACACCCCTGAGGGGCTCGGCTAAAAAAAACGCGAGGCACAAACAAAAATACGGCGCCGAACAGCGCCGAGGAATTGGAAGCAAATGGAAATCCCACACTTGTTTTTGTTTTGTGTCAATGTTGGCCCCCGGTCTACTCTTGCACAACAGACCACAATTCAGACCCCCTTCGCCTCCCAAAAAAGAACCCAGGAAGCCTTTGAGGGCCTCAAATCGTTGAATACCTGACGGAAATTCATGACTTCTGCGTTTCCGCACTTCCCCTTCTATACGATTCCGAGGCTTGCGCAGGGCCTCCAAGGGAATCCCTGGACGCAAGCGGCGACCAACATGATATCACAGGAGTTAGCCTATCAAGCCTAGGTAGATCTTGAGCGCGCGCCAAGCGCGCGATGGTTCTAGTATATACTTGAGGCCTCGAGAGTTCGTAGAGTATCCTTGAGGCCTCTGCATTGCAATCTGCTGACGGCGCGAGAGACGGAGAGGCTGGACGACATCGGGACGGCTTGCGAGGGCTACGATTTCGTCGGCCTGATCGGCACACAGCGACGGTGCGACCTCCCCATCCAAGAACAACGAGGGGGGGAGCGCTGAGTGGATGGAAGCGAGCCAGCTTCAGCAATAAGTCTGCAGGCGTGCTCTTGAGCTTCGGCAGCAAATTCAAACCTCGGCACCTGAGACGGGTAGCGGCGGCACCTGAACAGTGCGCAAGGCGAGGCCTAGCAGCACGACTGACTTCAAGGCAGTTTGGCTTCACGCTGATAGGCTTATATGCGCCGCCGAGACCGACCTGGTCAGAGACCAGATCGGCATATGAGAAGTGCGTGGACACGCTGATGGATTGGCTGCAAGAGATCCTCCAACAGACCCCAAGCCGAAGTTCCCCCATCATTTTCTAGACCTCAACGACGGCATGGGCCATGCAGTTACGGAGAACGGGAAAGGAACAGAGTTCAGGGGGAGCTCGGCTATTCACTCGCACGCAGGGTGGCAATCTGACGGGGAGGCATCGCAGAGAGCCCCATGACAGCAAACAAATGAATGAGTGACGTGAGGGTCGAATCACTCATCATATTGAAGCGTCGCATATGGAACCCGTCAGTGGCAACCGAAGTGTTTTCCTTAAATCCCTTGGAAAACGCACGAACGGCGGCAATAGGCACCAGAGGCAGCTCTGGCAGCGGACCGTCATGCCGGAACCAAACGTCAGCACTGCCATCGCCCCAAAGATCGGCAAACCTCCTACTTTCGGTCTGGAGCAACGACAAAGGATCGCACACGACATCCCCATCCAAGCTCAGATTCGTGGTGGGGGTCCATTTCGTGGCCCCCTTGGCCACCAAATGGACCCGACGAGCCCCCCGATCAGCCCGGTACAGGATCCAGTCCCAAAAAGCTTTGGATGCCGATTCGCGGGCAAGGGCCTCAACAGTCCCCATAGCGACCTGGAAGGACCCGTGGAGACCCTCAAATCGTTCCAACCACGCACCTTCCATGACCTCGTACATGGGCAGCTCCAGGATGAAAAAGGCCAGCTGGTCCAGAAAACAAGCTTGATGACCTAAGCTGCTGACCATATGAGCCGAAGGCTGCTGCAGGGATCCGAGCACCGCGCTAATGCCACGCTGGTTGCCGTCAGCCCAGTGGCCACGGAAGTCGCCGAACTGCGACGCGAGCCACTTGCACGCAAAAAGCTCGGAACACGGCACTTGCTGCACAGGTGGCAAAATAGGTTTCCAAAATAACTGGGCTGCCTTACCCCTGGCCCCCCAGCAAGGCAGCGAAACCCCCGTCGCCGCGGCAACTTCTCTTTCAGCACAGTTGGCCCACATCTTCTAGGCCTTGTCCAGCTTAGCCTGGACATCCGAAAAAACACGGCGCTTCGCCGAGAGCTTAGCCGCATCGATGAGGGACGGAAGAGGAGGAGGGAGGAGGAGGAGGAGGAGGAGGAGGAGGAGGAAGAGGAGGAGGAGGAAGAAGACGTGGAGGCGGAGGAGGCGGAGGAGGAGGAGGAGGAGGTGGAGGACAAGGAGGAGGAGGAGGAGGAGGAGGAGGAGGAGGAGGACGCGGAGGTAGAGCAGGCGGAGGAGGAGGAGGAGGAGGAGGAGGAGGAGGAGGAGGAGGCATCTTAGGGGCTCTCTGGAGGCCTCCTGGGAGCCTCCTGGGAGCTTTTTGGGGACCTCCTTGGGGCCCATTGGGGCCTCTTGGTCCGTCTTAGTGGGCCCTTGACCCTTCTGACGCCTTCGGATGTCGTTTTGGGGGCCCTTCTGGGCAGTCTTGGTGCACTCTTAGAGCGCTTTAGGGCCGTCTTGGGGCCCTCTTGGGAGGCTAATGGGCGACATTGGTGTCCTCTTGGGCCGACTTGAGGCCCTCCCTGAGGGCCTCATGGGTTGTCTTGGAGCTATCTTGAAGGCCTCTTGGGCCAGTCTTGGGCGGTCTGGAGTCCAAACATGTGAGAACTTCAAAACCAGTCAAGCACCTGAGAACCATGCATTGTTTTCGCCTCGGAGGGCTCTTTGGGCCTCTTAGGGTCCTCTTGGGGCCTCTTGGACAGTCTTAGGGCGCTCTTGGCCCAAATGTGACGCGTTCTTCCGTGCCGTGACGTGTCGGGGTGTCTCTCCTCGTGTGTCGTCGTCTTCTGGAAGACTCCCTGGAGCCCCAGCGGAACAGCACTTGGCATTTTGCCACGCCTCCGCGTGCCAGGAGGGCACGTTTGTGGACACGTGCAGCAGCCGCCCGGGTGGAGGGCGGCCCCTCGTCAGATTGGGGCTCCGGCTTGATACTTTCTCGGCCTCAGTGTTCCGAAGCAACAGCGATGTCAGCAGGGCACACACGCTCTCCCCCTCCCGCCGCGATCGGCCCGGCTCACAGCGTCTGTCTTTGGCAGCAGCCAGCGCCCACCTCAGGATCCAGCGCCCGCGGAAGAAGCCTCGGGAGCCATGCCCCGCACCGCCGCAGTCCTCGCAGGCAGCGCCGCAGCCGTCGGCGCCTGCCACCTCGCGGCCCGGTCGTTCGTGCCCGCGGCCCCTGGGGCGTTGGCGGCCCGCGGCGTGGCGCCGGCGCAGGCCTCCCAGCTCGCCAGCAGCGCTGCCTCCCCGCCCGAGGCCTCCGCCCTGCCCGCGGCGGCGCTGCTGGGCCTCGCCGGCGCCGCCGCGGCGTCCGCCGCGCGCGGGCGCACCGCGCGCCGCGCCGAGCCCGTGTCGGCAGCAGCGGCCGGGGCGGCAGCTGCGAAGGCCGCCGCCGCGGCGGGCGCGGCGAAGACGGCGGGGGCGGTGGCCGGCTCCGCGGGCGCCGGGAGCTTGGCCACCGACGGCGGGGAGGGCGCTGGGGCCAGCGCCGGCACGAGGACCTCGTGGGACCCCGCCAGCCAGATCGGAGCCCAGCCGCCGCTGGGCTACTTCGACCCCGCGGGCTCCCCGGCGCTGTTGATCCAGCCGCCCCGAGGCATGCCGGGGGTGATGGCGGCTGGGGAGGCGAGACGGTGCCTCGGGAGCCATGCGGTCGGGTGGCCCAGGTTGCCCTGATGGGCGCAAGACCTACCGACTATGTGTTCTATGTTTGCACGCCTGTGGGGCAGACGACCTCATCTCCTTATGTGAGTCAGCACACACCCGACATAATGCTCGGATCTTACAGTACGCCTGTATGGCTCATGCGGCGTCTCTACAGATAGATGCGAATTCGCTTGGATTAATCATTGCAATTATTGTTCTGCGTTGTTCCGCCGTTTATTGGAGGTCCTCTTTGGAGCCCCACCAGCTGCCTTGCTTCGTTGTGTACTTTGCCCTCGTGCCATTGGTGGCCGTCATGTCTGATGCTATTCATGTTACATATCGTCGCTGCAGTATTCTGAGGCACATTGTGGCTGGATGGTTGGACAGCTCCTATGTCGTCAGGCGCTTGTTCTCCGCGTTCCCGTTTGCTGTGAAGCCGGCTCCCTCTAATTAGGATTGCCTCTTCTCCTATTTGGTCCCGTTGTATGATTCAGACGTTGCGTTATGGCTGTTTTCATCGGTTGTGGATAAGCGTGCGGTGCCTTTGCCGCTCTCGGTTGAGTCTTACGAGATGCGGATTGTCGACCTTACCGTGTTCATCGGCGTCGACGGGCATACGATGCTTTCGGGCATGCGCCAGGGCTCCAGGACGTTTTCACGAGGTTCACCATGGGTGGTAGCTGCTGGTGGCGCCGCTGCTGGATTATGTGGATTGCCGTGGGCTTCTTTGGTCTGCGGTTTGTGGGAGAACGCTGTCATGTATCTTTATGCAACCTACTGCCCACCCGGGAATCGCGTGGTGCAGGATCCCCCTGTGGGTGGTCACTCTGGTGGGTGCTCACAGGAGTTTGCCTTCTGGCTGCGAGCCAGATTGCATCTACAAGTACCGGATACTTCGACCCCGCGGGCTTCACCACCAACGAGTCCACGTTCCGCAATCTGCGCGTCGCGGAGATCAAGCACGGCCGCGTCGCGATGATGGCTGCTCTTGGCGCGGTGGTGCAGCACTACGTCCAAATTCCCGGCTTCGAGGGCATCCCCAAAGGCCTGGGCGCGGTGAACGCGTCCCCTGGCAAGGAGGGCGCCATCGCCCTGATCCTCATCTGCGGTGGGCTGGAGCTGGCGGTTTGGACCGATGACGAGAGCAAGGAGCCCGGCAACTTCGGCGACCCGCTCGGCCTCAACCAGTACACCGAGGACATGCGCGCTCGCGAGATCAACAACGGTCGCTTCGCCATGTTCGCGGCGATCGGGATCATCGCTGCGGAGCTCCTGACTGGCAAGGACGCTGTTGAGCAGCTCGGCTTCTGAGTGGGCGGTTTGGCCTGTCGTTCCCGAACGGGGCCCGAATGGGCATCGCTGTCAACGCTGCTGCGCCTTGGCGTGCGGCGAAGCTCTGGCTCCACCAATTTTCGATGGCCAGGCTAGCCTTCTACGATTGCAGCAGTCGGTGAAGCATCGCAGATCTGGCTAGGCCAGAGTGTATTTTTGAAAGGGCTGCTCAGAATCCGTCGCACAGCAGGCCGATGCCTGGCCGCACCGCGTTTTCTTCCCATCGCAACGAGTCGGTGGAACTCCTTCCAAATCTTGCCCGGCACGCTCGCAAGCGAGTTTCCGCGAATCTTGCGCCGTGGCATGCCATCAACCATTACCCTCATGGCGTGAGAAGCAACAGGAGGGAGCGGAGGAGGATGAGGAGGGAACAGGACTTGAGGAGGGCAGCAGGAGGAGCGGGAGGACGATCAATTTGGCCGGGGCGCGGACGAGGTGCATGATGAAGAGGACGAGGGAGGACACGTGCGAGGGAGAGAGAGAGAGAGGGAGGGAGAGAGGAAGAGTGGGGTATCTTTGAGCCCTTGCCTGCCGTCCCGAACGATTTTTTTGGCCCACTCCTTGGCCGCTTCGGGGACCTCTTAAGCACTCCCGATGCCATCCTGTGCAGAGTGGTGTTCAAGGGTCTTGGCCTCACGGTGGGCCCCTTGGCGTTCTTCAGGCCTTTTGGGCCGTCTTGTTCCTTGTCCGTCCTGCTCCTGCTCTCTGCCTCCGATCCTCCCTCCCGCTCCTCCTTCCCCTTCCTCCCCATCCCTGCCCCTTCCCTTGGGCCCTCCAGCCGGCGATTGCCTTCCTCCTCTTCCTCCTCTTCCTCCTCTTCCTCCTCTTCCTCCTTCCTCTTCCTCTCCCTGTCCCGTCCCAGCTCTCCGTCTCCTCCTGCGCCTGCTCCTGCTCCTCCTCCTTTGCCTCTTTCCTTGTCCCCGCCCCCCTTCTCTTTCCTCCTCCCCCGTCCCTTCCCTCCTCATCCCGTCGATCCCTCTTCAGTGCAAGACATGTCTCTTTGTCGCGCCACCAAGTGTTTCGTCCGAAACGTCCTCGCGATGGATGATCAGGAACCTTGACCGTTCCAACAGTTACGCGGGTGGAGCACATGTGGCTTTGAAGTTGTGGATCTCGCCTCAGCGCTGTGCGCATTCATTTCTTGTCCAGCTGCCCGCGGTGAAGCCCGCCACCGTGCCTGCTCAACAGCGCAGCAGGAAGGAGACTGAGTGGAGGAGCAGCGTAATTCCGACGGCCTCGTCAGAACTGTAACGGGTCGTGCACTCCACTTCGTCTTTGTCCGCGCGGTATGGGGGAGGTGGAGATGGAGGTGGAGGTGGAGGAGGAGGAGGAGGAGGAGGAGGAGGAGGAGGAGGAGGAGGAGGGAGGAGGAGGAGGGAGGAGGGAGGAGGGAGGAGGGGAGGAGGGAGGAGGGAGGGAGGCGGGAGGACCAAGGGAGGAGGGAGGAGGGAGGAGGGTGAAGGAGGGAGGGAGGGAGGGGAGGGAGGGTAGGGAGGGAGGAGGGAGGATGAGGCGTAGGAGGAGGGAGACCTCTGGAGACTCTGCCTGATCGCGTAGCGATACGGAGGAGGAGGAGGATGAAGGAGGAGGAGGAGGAGGAGGTGAAGGATGTGGAGGAGGAGGAGGAGGAGGATGGGGATGATGAGGAGGGAGGAGGAGGAGGAGGAGGAGGAGAGAGGAGAAGGAGGAGGAGGAGGGAGGAAGGGTCAGAGGAGGAGGACGAGGCGGAGGAGGAGGATGAGGAGGAGGAGGGGGAGGAGGGGGGGGGAGGAGGGAGGAGGAGGAGGAGGAGGAGGGGGAGGAGGATGAAGGAGGAGAGGATCGAGGAGGAGGATGAGGTGTTGGTTTGTTGTGGGGAGGATGAGGAGGAGGAGGAGGAGAGGGGGAGAGGAGAAGGAGGAGGACGGGGATGAGGAGAGGAAGACGTGGGAGGCGGGAGGAGGGCGGTTAGAGGGAGGAGAGGGAGGAGGAATGGAGGGATGAGAGGAGGTGGAGGGGGGGAAAGGGGAGAGGAGGAGGAGGAGGTGGAGGAGGAGGAGGACGCGGAGGTGGAGCAGGCGGAGGAGGAGGAGGAGGAGGAGGAGGAGGCATCTTAGGGGCTCTCTGGGGGCCTCCTGGGAGCCTCCTGGGAGCTTTTGGGACCTCCTTGGGGCCTATTGGGGCCTCTTGGTCCGTCTTAGTGGGCCCTTGACCCGTCTGACGCCTTCGGATGTCGTTTTGGGGGCCCTTCTGGGCAGTCTTGGTGCCCTCTTAGTGCGCTTTAGGGCCGTCTTGGGGCCCTCTTGGGAGGCTAATGGGCGACATTGGTGTCCTCTTGGGCCGACTTGAGGCCCTCCCTGGGGGCCTCATGGGTTGTCTTGGAGCTATCTTGAAGGCCTCTTGGGCCAGTCTTGGGCGGTCTGGAGTCCAAACATGTGATGAGAACTTCAAAACCAGTCAAGCACCTGAGAACCATGCATTGTTTTCGCCTCGGAGGGCTCTTTGGGCCTCTTAGGGTCCTCTTGGGGCCTCTTGGACAGTCTTAGGGCGCTCTTGGCCCAAATGTGACGCGTTCTTCCGTGCCGTGACGTGTCGGGGTGTCTCTCCTCGTGTGTCGTCGTCTTCTGGAAGACTCCCTGGAGCTCCAGCGGAACAGCACTTGGCATTTTGCCACGCCTCCGCGTGCCAGGAGGGCACGCTTGTGGACACGTGCAGCAGCCGCCTGGGTGGAGGGCGGCCCCTCGTCAGACTGGGGCTCCGGCTTGATACTTTCTCGGCCTCAGTGTTCCGAAGCAACAGCGATGTCAGCAGGGCAGGCACGCTCTCCCCCTCCCGCCGCGATCGGCCCGGCTCACAGCGTTTGTCTTTGGCAGCAGCCAGCGCCCACCTCAGGATCCAGCGCCCGCGGAAGAAGCCTCGGGAGCCATGCCCCGCACCGCCGCAGTCCTCGCAGGCAGCGCCGCAGCCGTCGGCGCCTGCCACCTCGCGGCCCGGTCGTTCGTGCCCGCGGCCCCTGGGGCGTTGGCGGCCCGCGGCGTGGCGCCGGCGCAGGCCTCCCAGCTCGCCAGCAGCGCTGCCTCCCCGCCCGAGGCCTCCGCCCTGCCCGCGGCGGCGCTGCTGGGCCTCGCCGGCGCCGCCGCGGCGTCCGCCGCGCGCGGGCGCACCGCGCGCCGCGCCGAGCCCGTGTCGGCAGCAGCGGCCGGGGCGGCGGCGGCGAAGGCCGCCGCCGCGGCGGGCGCGGCGAAGACGGCGGGGGCGGTGGCCGGCTCCGCGGGCGCCGGGAGCTTGGCCACCGACGGCGGGAAGGGCGCCGGGGCCAGCGCCGGCACGAGGACCTCGTGGGACCCCGCCAGCCAGATCGGAGCCCAGCCGCCGCTGGGCTACTTCGACCCCGCGGGCTTCACCACCAACGAGTCCACGTTCCGCAATCTGCGCGTCGCGGAGATCAAGCACGGCCGCGTCGCGATGATGGCTGCTCTTGGCGCGGTGGTGCAGCACTACGTCCAAATTCCCGGCTTCGAGGGCATCCCCAAAGGCCTGGGTGCGGTGAACGCGTCCCCTGGCAAGGAGGGCGCCATCGCCCTGATCCTCATCTGCGGTGGGCTGGAGCTGGCGGTTTGGACCGATGACGAGAGCAAGGAGCCCGGCAACTTCGGCGACCCGCTCGGCCTCAACCAGTACACCGAGGACATGCGCGCTCGCGAGATCAACAACGGTCGCTTCGCCATGTTCGCGGCGATCGGGATCATCGCTGCGGAGCTCCTGACTGGCAAGGACGCTGTTGAGCAGCTCGGCTTCTGAGTGGGCGGTTTGGCCTGTCGTTCCCGAACGGGGCCCGAATGGGCATCGCTGTCAATGCTTCTGCGCCTTGGCTTGCGACAAAGCTCTGGCTCCACCAATTTTCGATGGCCAGGCTAGCCTTCGACGATTGCAGCAGTCGGTGAAGCATCGCAGATCTGGCTAGGCCAGAGTGTATGTTTGAAAGGGCTGCTCAGATCCGTCGCACAGCAGGTCGATGCCTGGCCGCACCGCGTTTTCTTCCCATCGCAACGAGTCGGTGGAACTCTTTCCAAATTTTGCCTGCCACGCTCGCAAGCGAGTTTCCGCGAATCTTGCGCCCTGGCAGGCCATCAACCATTACCACATTCATCGTCGAGTCTCTGCGGCGGTGGAAAAAAAATCCCTTGTTGAGTGTTCTGGCTTGGCTGGCGCCACAGTCGCCGACGCCCTCATGATGCTGTGATTGCAGATGGCCTCATGCGGGCGTTGCTTTCGAAAGACGAGAGAAGACCAGGGACTTTGAGGAGGGCAGCAGGAGGAGCGGGAGGACGATCAATTTGGCCGGGGCGCGGACGAGGTGCATGATGAAGAGGACGAGGGAGGACACGTGCGAGGTGAGAGAGAGAGAGGGAGGGAGAGAGGAAGAGTGGGGCATCTTTGAGCCCTTGCCTGCCGTCCCGAACGATGTTCGGCAACTATTTGGCCGCTTCGGGGACCTCTTAAGCACTCCCGATGCCATCCTGTGCATAATGGTTTCCAAGGAGGGTCTTGGTCGCACAGAGGGGCCTCTTGGGTTTCTTCAGGCCTCTTGGGTCGTCTTGGAGATCTTTCGGGCTGTTCTGACAGTGACCTGCTCCCTATTTCTTCCTGGTCCGTCCTGCCATCTCCTGCTCCTGCTCCTCCGATTCGCCCTCCCGCTCCTCCTTCCCCTCCCTCCCCCTTCCTCCCCCTTCCCTTGGGGCCTCCAGCCAGCTATTGCCTTCCTCCTCTTCCTCCTCCTTCTTTCTTTTCCTCTCCTCTCCCAGCTGTCCCTCTCCTCCTGCTCCCATTCGCCTCTGTCCTTGTCCCCGTCCCTCTTCTCGCTCCTCCTCCTCCTCCTTTTTGTTCCTCCTCTTCCCCCCCCGTCCCTTCTTTCCCTCTTCATCCCATCGATCCCTCTTCACTGCAAGGAACTTCTCCTTGTCGCACCTCTAGGTGTTTCACCCGAGACGTCCTTGCGATGTATGATCAGGAAGCTTGATCGTGCCAACAGGGAACGCTGGTGGAGCACAAGTGGCTTTCAAGTTGTGGATTTCGTGTCAGCTCCGCGCGCATTCATTTCGTAGCCGGCTGCCCGCGGCAAAAGCCGCCACCGTACTTGTGCAACATCGCAGCAGGAAGTAAACTGAGTGGAGGAAGAGCGCAACTCTGATGATTGATCAGAACTGGAACGGGTCGTGGACTCCACATCGTCTTCGTCCGCGCGGTAGGGGGAGGTCGAGATCGCGCCGCGCTGAATTTCAGCGAGAGGTATTGACTTTGTCGGGTCGTGAACTGGACCTCATTTTCGTCCGCGCGCAGGAGGTGGAGGAGGAGAAGGCGTACGACGAGAAGGCCTCTTAATAGCCCTCCAGGGGCCTCCTGGGAGCCTCTTGAGGGCCTCTTGGGGGTATCTTTGGGGCCTCGTGGGGCCTCTTGGGCCGTATTAGTTTTGCCCTTGGCCCGTCTAACGCGTTCGGAGGCCGTCTTGGGGGCCTTTTGGGGCGCTTTCGGGCCGTTTTGGGGCTTTCTTGGGTGGCTGTTGGGCGATCTTAGGGTCCTCTTTGGCCGTCTCGAGGGCCTCTTGGGGTGCCTCATGTGTTGTTTTGGCTCTATCTTGGAGGCCTCTGGGGCAGTCTTGGACGGTCGGGGACCCAAACATGTGAGAACCTCAACATCATTCAAACACCTCTGGAACAGTCATGTTTTTCGCCTCGGAGGCCTCTCGGGGCCTCTTGGAGCCTCTTGGGGCCTGGTGTGCCGTCTTAGGGGGCTCTTGGCCCGGCGCCTTCAGAGGACGTCGTGGGGGCTTCTCTGGGCCGTCTTGGTGATTTCCTTCTTGGAGCGCTTTGGGGCCGTCTTGGGGCCCTCTTGGGAGGCTGTTGGGCGATCTTGGGGGCCTTCTGGGCCGACTGGGTTCCCTGGGAGCCTCATGGGCTGCCATGGAGCTATCTTGAAGGCCTCTTTGGTGGTCGGAAACCCCAACAGGTGAGAACCTCAAACTCATGCAAACACCTCAGGAACATCAATGTTTCTCGCCTCCTCGGAAGCTTCTTGGGGCTCCTTTGGGGCCTACATTCCGTGGGCCCAAACATGGGTGAGGAGCAGAAGCAGGCCCCAGAGCTTCGCAGGCGGAGGAGCTCAACGCGAGGACGTGAAGCATGGAGAGGCGGTGGAGGAGGAGGGCATCGACGTGGAGGAGGATCAGGATAACTTATTCGGACTGATGCAAGCATTGACCGTCCAGCTCGAAGCGAGAGTGCGCCTCCTAGAGCACGAATCTGTGGCGACACCATTCGTGGATCGCAAACACCAGCTGGGGACGGATTGCAGCAAGTCCTAACAAGATTCTGTGGAATAACGGACTTCGGCTCGCCAGGATGCCAAGTTATCTAATGTTGTCTATTCGTTTTGGAACAGCTCCCCTGCAGAGACGCCAAGCAGGCTCTCCAAACTGAATAACGGGATCGAAATGCTCGTGGACGTCTTCAAAGCATCATGGAACACGTAGCGTTGTGGATAGAGGGAACAGCGGTGTTCCCCACGCGCGACAAGCCAGGTCAGCCCGAGAAGAGCAGGTTCATATTCGAGTTTCTCGGTCAGGGACTGGCTCCAGACGAACCCCAGGTCCACAAAGAAACGCCAGAGGCGACCGAGAAGGAGGACCACCCCCTCAGCGAGAAGAGTCCCCTGAAGATCCCCACGACAGTCCTCGACGTGAAAGGCAAGATCTTTGACGTCGGAGCTCTGATCGCGGAGATGGTCAGACACAGTGGGGGGGAAGGTTGCGATGGGCAGAGTGCCCTGGGGGACCCTCGCCAGGCATCTCATGCCCGAGAGGTCGCGAGAATTGAGTGGATTGAGCGAGTGAGCGGGGAGATGTGGCCCTCGAGACAGTGAGCGGACGGGGCCGCGCCGAGGCCCTGCATTCGACCAGCTGCGTCTTGTTTGCGCCCCCCCTTGCATGTTTTTTTGTTTCTGCTGTTTTTTTGGGGTGTTGCTTGTTTTATTCAGTTTTCCAGGTCTGGCGTTTGTCCACTCTGCCCTCGGAGGAGGCCCCCCAGCGGGGCGACGGCGAGGCTCCCGTGCAGCAGACATCTTGGCTGCACGATCAGCAGCCGCTCTTCTTCGAGTGCACGGTGCCCAATGAGGTCTGAGAAGCAGGGGCCTTGCAAGCCATGCATCGTTTACCCCCCAGGGTCACGAAACCGCTTTCTAAAACAGTGAATTCTGGACCGCGAAGTCGAGAGCTGCTCCTCCACCCCCTCCTCCTCCTTTTCCTCCTGCTTCTCCTCCTCCTCCTCCTCCTCCTCCTCCTTCTCCTCCCACTCCTCCTCCTTCTCCTCCTCCTCCTCCTCCTCCTCCTCATCCTCTTCTGGGGCGAGGACGTGGGAGGTTTGCCGGGACAGGGCGGAAGTATCCAAGATGCGCAAGCTGGTACGGAGACCAGGGCCGCAGGTCTGTTCACTGGCGTATTCGGGCCCACGGCTGGCGAGCAGGACAAATACGTTCCAAAACAATTCGCTCAACATGGTCCCGTGGCGTCTGGGCCACCGAAGGATGAAAGGGTGGGCGTCCATGACGCACCCGCCATGCTGGAGCCCGTTTCGAAGCCATACCGATCGACTTGAAGGGCGTGTCCACTCCGAGTGCCACTCCTGAGTCGGCGGTCTTGCCGATCAGGCCTGCCGCACGGCCGCCTGCCTGTGCTCCCGTCGGTGCTCGGGTCACTGGGCAGGGGTCGGGCGGCACTGCTGCTGGAAGCACCTGGCCCCTGCTTGGAGTGAGGGTTGACATGAGCTCCGAGGGTCATCGTGTGGAGGTCGACGAGGTCCACGACAGTTTGTGCAGTCTCACTGGTCGAGGCGATGCCAGTGCTTAAAGTCAAAGGCAAGGTGACAAACCGCACCCATCTAGCACAGCCCATGGCGAAGCTAGCTGGGTGATGGCCGTGAGCCGAACCCATGGTGAAGCTCACGGCGCCACTCAGGCGGTGGGAAGTAACCCAGTTGTTCGGAACATAATTGAGGGCTGCTTTCAATCTGAGGCTGCGCGCCGCGAGCTGGCCTCAGGAGCTACCGCTGCTGGTTCGTTGACTGGGGCTTCTGGGTCCACCCGCGGAGCCACTGACAGCCTGCGGCAAAACAACGAAACGAAGTCGGTCCAGACAGCCCATGGAGTGTCTAACCGCAAAGACGGCGCGTGCCAGGCACTCCGCGAAGACATGAGTGTCCAAGTCAGCGGTAATCTGAAGACAGAAGTGCCTGGTAAGCGACGCCGTGGCCGCCCTCGTCTCCACCAAATCCCTGTCGGCGTGTGCGGTACCGTGCACGCGGTCGACTACATGGTAGGGACGTGCAGCCACGAGGAGGTCTTCGGGGCGCTCGTTGCCTGGGACCTCCCGCTGGAGGGAGGTGTCGACATGGCCCTCCATCCGCTCGACGAGTGGCAACATGTCACACGTGTCTGATGTGTCGTTGTTTCCCTCATGCCCGTTACTTGGGTGAGTGACTTGTCTGGGTTGTGGGTCGCGCGAGGGAGGACGTCTACGCCCTCCCCGTCACTGGTTTCGCCTGCGGCTCCGTGTTGCTCTCCTACTTCATGCTGGACGGGATCTTCCTTGACTCGTCCTTCCTCCACACTTTCTTCCACCTTGCCCTCTCCGCCATCGTGGCGTGAGGGCGGCTCGGCGTAGTCCATCGGGGCGCGCGCCAGCGCGGCCGGCGGGGGACGCGCGAGAGGCGCTGCGCTCCTCCGGGGCAAGGGTGGACAAGCTTGCGGTGCCACAGTTCGCTTTCAGACAGCACGACCAGGCGCGCCTAGTGATCTGCATCCTGAACTTGATCGGGGAACCCATCGAGTGGGATCTTCCTTCTATTCGTGTTGGACGGGGGCCTGCTTGGATCTTTTGAATTCACGAAACATTCAACTCTGCCGGCTGGGATAGACGCCGAAGGCGTGCCGAGGATGCGATCGGCAGCCGGGGTCCGCGAGATTCGCAGAGTCAGGTCTGTTTTCGCGCTCTCCGAAGACATTACTTCTCGACAGATGGGCCGATCTCGCTTCCTTCTCCAGGGCGAGCCGGTGGCGCCGTCGTGGTTCGACGTGGCGCTCGATCTCCCCGCGGCCAAATGCTGCGCGTTGGCGGAGCACAAAGGCTGGGGTCACCATTTTGACCTGGATGGGGGACGCCGGACTGGCGTGCTCCCTTTCGCAGACAGTTCCTGTTTTTTGAGCTGCTGGCGCGGCGCAACTTTCAAATCTGATTTTAGCATGG